TGAATGGTAAAACGTTTTGTATTTAGTGTATTAGTGCTACAAACCAGTGTGTTTATGACTACAATAATATATTCAAATAAAATGATAACAATTACCAGTTTGCAATATCAAGCAGTATAGCAGACTGTTTGCACAGCTAAAATAACTAGAAGCTTCACACATTCAAGTTACAAATAGATGCAGCTGCACTTGTGTTAAATAAGAATGAATGTGGATCAAAAGCCCAGTTGTTAACAGAACTAGTAAAAGCAACACGCTGTTAAAATGACAGCAGTGTTTGACAAAGCACAATGAGCTCAACTTTTGTAATGAAGGTTTGTAATGAACTTGATTTACCTGAAGGCACTCACAATGTACACACACAATATAAATGCTCAGGATTAGATCTGCAGAGGAGAATGATCATGTCCGGGATCAAACCATGTGAGACTCATGTCACACACATTATTAGCATGTAGGGAGAGATTAGGAGTGTTAAACCATGAAAAGATGGCAACTTAAATGAACCGAACTTACCACTGCCTGATATATACACAACACACGGGAGAGAACAGAAGAGTGTTTAAACACACTGATTTCTGGGATACGAGCCCAGGAGATCAGACCATTTTTTATCAAATTAAATAAAACTTGAGTGAACTCATACTAGTCATGTTCATTGGAGTTTCCGTATATCTTTGATTTTCCACATCAGTTTGTATTTATTTGCAACCTGATTTTATTTTTTCAACATGATAATTTTAAAGTTTGTTGAGGTTTAAAGTGCCTAAAAACCAACTTGTTGCAACATGAGTCCACTGACAAATTAAAAAAAGGTTTGCAATGGACAGACTGTTGCTACACAACTGATAACCTGCGTGGCGCTAAAGCGATTTTCCAGAATCAGCGATGGAATACAAAATGAGCATAGACTACTTAAACTAGATCGTGGGGCAATCAGTGTTCAAATCAGAGGGCTAAAATAATGGCCTTTTTTCCCAAATTCTGGCAGTTTTTGATGTAAAAATCCTACTAACATTTTAAGTGCAGCTTATAAGGAAATATTGTAAGATAAAAATGCAGTTCACAATAATATAACCAAATATAAAGTGGGACCTAAATCTCAGCCCATACTTGCAGTCGTGGGGTCTCTACTAATGAGCTGATGGCCTGAATCAGGCGTGCATGACTGCGTTTTGTTCAGTTTGTCTAAAACTAAATAACCCTCGTCATAAAAAAAATTAAACAAACAATTTTGTTTAAATGCTATTTTGGCTTG